AAAAAAAAAAAAAAAAAAAAAAAAAAAATTCAAGAAAATTTTATTTTCAAGATTCCAGTGGAAATCAAAGAATATATATATAATCTATAAACAGAATATATATATTCTTTTTCATGTTATTTTCTATTTAAACTATATTTTCCCCTTTGTGGACTCAATTAAATGCTAATGTAAAAAAATCACTTAACTTTACTAGGGAGATTGATTGATATTTGGTTGATATTTGCATGCTTTGATATTGATGGTTGGTATTTGTATGCTTCGGTATTAAAAGCATTGTTGATATGGTCATTTTTTGTTTTCAGTTAGCCTGACCTCTATATTTCACAAGGTAGATCAAGAATACATTAAAAAAAATCCATAATACTCTTAAAATCACATCAAGGATGTTTTTACTAGTTGAATAACAGGAATGTTTTACAAAGATTTCAGGAATTATGTGAAAATTTCCGCTATACTATTCACAAGCCTAGACACTATGAGTTCAAAATCAGTCTCTTAATAAAGAGTCTGTGGGCGAGTATGTAGGGGTGTGTGTGTGTCACATACTGAGGTTGAAACATAATGGAATCATTTTTATGTTATAACTTAAGCTTTCTGACATGTGTGCAAACAAACACACAAGCCTAAAAATGTCTTGAAGGAAATGGCCTCCAAATTTAAAAAATAGCCAAATTTGATTTGGGCACTTTCATAAATATTACGTAAAACTGATATTTTGTATAATCAGGCTATGTAGAAAGTAATTGTTTTCTCAGGAATGAAAGGATCTTTTGACATATTTACACTAAAAACCAATTGTGTCTTACTAGAATTCCTTACACTTTACAATCATATTTATTTTGGAAAAATGTGTTATATCTAATGATATATTAATAACTGGTGAAATCAATGATGGCTTAAAAGTATGATGACATTCTGACATCTAATCACTTTAATACTTTGTTGTGTGGTACAGTGGACAGAGAATGGATTTTGAAGTCAGTCTAAGAACAAATCATAGTTCTATTATTTATTAGCTGTGTGACATTGGGCACTTTAGTCTAAATTTCAATATTCTATCCTGCAAAATATGGATAGTAATATCTATACTATCAGTTTGCTGGGAAGGTTAAATTAGAAAATGTAAGCAAAACACATTATTACATCTACCACATAGTAAGTGCTCAATAAATGTAATCTGCATATGTTAGATATTCCTTTCGTCATTCACACTTAAGCAAGCACGGTGACCACACTGATTTGATGCGGGAATGAGCCAATAATTATTTAACTTAATTCTTCTGAATTGTGTGCCTTTGGACGTTCTGCTGTGACAGAAAAAGAACTGGAATATAAACTTTCTGATCGAAGTGTGGCAGTATGATTTTATTATTAAAAACATCTCTATAATTTACAAGCTAATAGAGATATGAGTCAAATGAAGAAATATTTAATTCTTTAATAAGTTTCTTTATCTGGGGCTAGAGTCTGACTTTATTCATTAATTTATCAAATATTTATGCAGGCCTACTATGTGCTAAATACTCTATTAGTAATTAAGGTAAATAGTTAAAAGTTTAAAAGACACACTTCGCACTCTCCAAAAATATCCCATTTTTATTGGGAGGGGAAATAAATAAAAAAATGATTAGAATACAATATTTTATTTATTTCATTACCATAAACTCAATCCTTACAGGTGAAATGTAAAATTAAGAAATAACCAGATAATCAGGAAAGAGTTTTATTTGTTTGCTTTTTGGGTGAGGAGATTGGATTAAAAAATTATCTTGACACTTGCCATGATTGCCACTTCTCTAAGTAAAAAAAATCCAGCTTAAACAATAAAATCTATTAGCTGAACATGCTCGGAGTAATATTCTAGGCCGTAGAAAGTCCTTGTAGCACACAATGTTTGATAAAATTTAAATCATTCCTTATCAAAGATAAAATAACTTCTTGTTGACTGAGGTATATAAAGCTCCACATGGCTTTGGCATCTAGTACGGTACAATTAATCATAATATTCTGATTTTAAGGGAGTGAATAAAAACAATCTTCACATGGCAGTTGGTTTCTAAATATTTTTATGAGCTTCTGAATTAGCCCAACTTTTGTCCAACTTTCCACAGTGTTGATTATAATGATTTTACCAGCTTTAAAGCACATGACAGTCTGTTCAGAGACGTATATATATATATATACGTCTCTGAAGAGTAACAAATTGACCTTGTAATATTTTATTCATTTGGGTATTTTATTCATTACCCAAAATGAATGCACTAGGCTTATTCATTACCCAAAATGAATGCACTATGCATTAATATTCCAATTGAAATAATAAAGATTTTTTTCTACTAAATGTTAAGAATGAACGAAGTTATACAAAAGCTGTGCATGACAGCAAACATACAAGTCTCAAAAAATTTTCAAGGTCATATTGTAAACGTATATCTTAGTTTTCATGACATCTTTTAAGAGAATTTGTTTTTCTTTAGGCAATCCAGGAATATGGCCTAGAAGCAGACTTATATAATTCCTCATGAAAGTTTCTTTTTATATTATGGGAAATGGAATCCTGAATGTAAAAACTAAATAGGAACTCTGTGATTGAAAGAGGAATGAGGAAGAATCAAATAGTTGTGAAGCAGTTAAACTCTGGTGGGGAAAAAGTGGATATTTTCCTTAGCATGGACCAAAATTTTGCTAGAATAACCTGAGGATATATGCTCTATTTTTTAAGACAGAATCTTAATATAAAAAATTAAGTGATGAAAAGATCATTTGACCAGGTGGACAAAGGTTAGAAGTCTCATTCTAACCTATGAGAAATTCAAGTTTTTAATTGTAACCAACAAAACAATCTGGTGCAGTAAAAAGAACAGGTGCCAAGGGGACAGGTGATGGTTTCATCTGAAAGTTAGTAAAAAGGGAGAAAAAAACAGCAGGAATATTGAAACCTATTTCCTCAAACTTAGGAAAACAAATCTGAAAAAATTTAGCTTTCAAAAAGATTCTGGCGGGTTGGCTTCTGTAGCTGGCACATCTCTTGTTCTGACCTCGACTCATTCAGTGTGTTCACCCAGATCTTCTCTCAACCTGAGGCCACCCTCAAGCCAATCTCCCTGAGTGGTGACACACAGGGCTCCAGTCCTGGTGCTGACAGCTTCTGGTCTTAGTCTCTGCCCATCAACTCTAACTAGAGTTGTGAACTTCAAGCTTGGGCACCTGACCCTTTTAACTACACTCTAGTCCTATTTTGATAATGTTTGTTTGTAATACATTGCAGTTGTGGTTGCATTTGTGAGGTACTAACACCTTTATTGAGCCATATGCTTGGTTTAAATTTAGCCATCGTTCACTAAAATGTGAATGATTAAAATCCATTCCTTTGTTAAGGTTGTAGTTGTAAAAGTAAAAAAACAGTTTTCTTCATTTAAAATTATGGAATCCAAAATCTGAAAGGAATCTGTGGATGTCTAGTTTATTTTCTTGTTCATACACTGATATAATGCTAAAAGCATGTGCCACAATAAAACTGTAATAATTTATATAGTTCTCCAAGCAAGTTCGTTTTAAAATGTAGCATAAAGCATCTTTTCTGACCACAACGTTATGAGATTAGAAATCAATTACAGGAGGGACTTCCCTGGTGGTCCAGTAGAGGATCCTGGTAGAGGATCCACCTTTCAGTGCGGGAACACAAGTTCGACCCCTGGTCAGGGAGCTAAGATCTCACATGCCACAGGGCAACTAAGCCCACCCGCAACAACTACTGAGCTCGCGAACCACAATGAGAGAGCCCACGTGCCACCACTACAGAACCCATGTGCCCTGGAGCCTGCGTGCCACAACTAGAGAAAAGCCCATGTGTGCCACAACTAGAGAAAAGCCCATGTGTGCCACAACTAGAGAGAAGCCTGAGGGCCGCTACAAAAAG